TTATTGTTGTTATTGTTATTATTACAATTATTATTAGTAATCATTATTGTTGTTATTGTTATTGTTATATTTGTTGTTATTAATTATTATTATTATTATTGTTATTATTGTTAAAATTGTTGTTATTAATTGTTATTGTTGTTATTTTTATTATTACAATTATTGTTATTAATTATTATTGTTGTTATTGTTATTGTTATAATTGTTGCTATTAATTATTATTATTGTTAAAATTGTTGTTATTAATTATTATTATTATTATTGTTAATTATTATTGTTAATTATGGCATCGAACAACACCTCATCTAGGGGGAAGGGCCGACTTACCCGTGGTAGTAGTTCAAAATGCTGGAATACCCCCACACCGGTATTAACATTTCTCACCATTTAAAGCAAGCAATAAATGAATACAACCCTCGAGATAAAATGATGTCTATGACATTGACAATGCAACCGCAATGACATATACTGCTAATTATGTCAAACAAAACTTGACCGATGTAATATTAGATGGTGATGCACTTCATACTAGATGTGTTTGCCATGTTCTTAACTTATGTGTACAGGATGGACTTAGAGCAATGGGTCCATACTATAACAAAATTAGAGAAGCTATTATGTCTATTAATAGCTCAAATATGAGATACCAAGAATGGAAGAGTTTTCTAAGACAACAAAAGATAAGGGCAATAAAAATCAAAACCGATTGCCCAACTAGGTGCAATTGAGTACAAGAATCCGTTGACAGTGTTTTACAACCAAAAATTTCCAAACAATGCTATATATGAGGATGATTGGGCTAAATGTGAACGATATATGCAATTTTTACAGTTATTATATAACATGATTGTTTTTCTTCTGTTTATAATCCTTGTGCTCAAAACTTTCTTTCAAATGCATGTTTACTCGCCCAACTTTTCGTTGATCATCGCAACTAAAGTGATTATGATCAGTATCTTCCAGCAATAGAAACAAAGTGGCGTAAATATTATAGTGAAATTCCTTTGATTTATATTTTTGCTTGCATATTAGATCCTAGGCAAAAGTATGAAAACACATTTATGTTAGTTGACATTTACTTTCAATGCATGCTTCTTAACGATGAAGTAGAAAACTATAAGACTAATGTGAAGGATCAATTTTTTGCTTTATATAGAGTCTATGAAGCCAAATATGGCACCGTTCCTCGCTCAGGGCCTTCCCAACCATCCAAAAACGTAAGTAAGAAGGCCAAACATTTATTTTCACAAGCTACTAACTTGATTTCAAGGTTTTCAGGTGATTCATCAATAAGGAGAACGCAAAGCGATGTCTCAGAGTTGCAAATGTACTTGAGTTACGACTTCACCAAGGGCATGGACGAAGATGAGATAAACAGTCTTGACCTCCTTGCATGGTGGAAACAACAAAGCACGAAGCATCCAACTTTGGCGGCAATGGCACGAGACATTCTTGCTATCCAAGTCTCCTCCGTTGCCTCCGAACGAGCTTTCAGCGCATCCGGGAGGGTTTTAGACGATAAAAGAACAAGTCTAAAACCCGAAACACTTGAAATGTGCGTGTGTTTCAAAGATTGGTTGGATGCGGAAAATCGGTCATAAGACCGTTCTTACGACGACAACGACAACGATGAAGGAACCTCCGCTTCCGACTGTTCGGGTTCGGCTAGTTCCCAATCTATGCAACTAGCCGATGACCTTGAAAACGAAGACGAAGACGCACAAGAAGAAGAAGAAGAAGAAGAAGAAGAAGAAGAATAGATAATTTTTGTATATTGTACGATTTTTATCATTATCAATATTATCATTTTACGATTTTTATCATTATCCAATTTTTGTTTAATACCCTTGTACGATTTTTATCATTATTATCATTGTACAATTTTTTCAAGTAATAATAATATGAAGTATGCATTATTCACATCCAAAGTCCAATTTGCCCTTTTTTCGTTAAGTTATAATTCGTAATTTAATATAACAAAAATAAAATTATAATAATTAATAATTAATAATACAAAAATAAATGTAATAAATTATAAACATTAAACTATAAAGTAATAGTATACACAAAATATATATATTTAAATATTAAATATAAAAAATAACAAAACATAAATATTAAACTTAATTTATTTTAGAAAAATAATAATATAAGATTATAAGTTATAAACTATTAATAAATAAATAAATTTTTTAAAAAAAAAAGGGAGGAAGGCAGCAGGCCAGCCCACCAAGCCAGCACGCAGGCTAGCACGCAAGCCAGCAAGCTAAGGCACGAGCCTGAATGGCACGTGGGCCGTGCCGTGGGCTGGCCTGCGACTTTGGGCGGCACGACACGTCTTCTCAGGAACGGTGGCCCGCTGGAGCACGTGGCCCGCCAGGCACGGCCCGGCACGGTGCCCACCTTTACTAAAAAGTGTAAACTCCTAGGCTTTTAAAGGGCCATGGGCATAGAGGAGAAGGATCCCCTACGACGGGCACACCCTCCTCACTCATGTGTCATTCCTGGTGTCTGTTTTAGTATTATGTTATTGATTCTAAATCCAACACTATATTTGTAAACAAATTGTTGACAAAGTATAACCATATATAATTTATATATTTTCTTCTTATTTTAGGTATATAATGAAATAAAACGTGAAATATAATGAAAGAATAAATAAAGTAACAAATGAGTGTTGTAAATTTTTTAATTCGGTATCATTAGTTGTTCTTATTAACTAAACAATTAAGATTTTAATTGAAATCGTATATGAGCAATATAGGTAGGAATAATAATTGCGAGTTATATTTAAATTATTAGATTGAAGGTTGTGTGTAAATCACTCACTGGCTATGTATCTAGTCGCAATTAATTGCATTGTATGTCTTTTGTGATCTTATAAGTTTTTACAAAAGTTTTATTTTATATAAATTAATAGATTTTGACCAAAATATCTCATTTCTCATGTCATTCATAATTATTGATATTGAATAATTATTAGTAAAAATTTGTCAATAATGATAAAAATATCGATATTTTTCTTTACAAAAAATATTTCTTCGTTCTCATTTTAATTAACAATTTTATTTTTTGTTCTTCTTTGAAAGATTTGGCTTTAATAATTAAATTTGAAGTTACAATAAATTATTGTTGCATATATAGTACTACAATAAAGACTATATTATTTAAATTTGAATATTGGTAGAACTTGTTAACAGTTTGAGATATCCATGCATGAATTTAATATTATTTTTTCAGTTTTTTTTTTCTAAAATTATTCAGTTGCCCATTATATTTTTTCTACATATAAGAATGTAAGATATCTGACAATTATATTGTAAAAATATGATAACATAGAAATCTTTGACATAAAAGTTAAATAAGGTTTAAATCTTAATTAATCAACTTATCTTACATGATTTACACATATAGAAATATTTATAATATCTAGCTATTTATTTTATGCCCTCCATTTTCTTATGTTCTTTATGAGAAACCAATGAAAGTATTAAAGAAAGCTAGCTAAGATTCCCATTTTTTAATTAAAAAAAAAAACTCTATTTAAAATATTAGGAAGATAAAATTAGGTTGTAATAGGATGAATAAATATGTGATTAATACAACTTGGAATAGTTGAATACATACGTAAATTGGTGTGCTTTTAATACATAAATAAATGAATATGAAAAAAACTTATGGTTAATACTGTCTATAAACATATGATATTAGTAAAACGCTAAGATCACTATTAAGAAAAACAATATCAATTTCTTATGAAAATTCATAAATTTCTTATGAATAATATATAAATCACAAAAGAAAGCGGAGGGATTAACAATAGCAATATTTTAGTTGCAAAAAAAAAAAAAAAAAAAAAAAAAAATTTAGTTTGAATCATTTATATCATAAATACATCATTTTTAAAAACATTGTTACAACTCTATACAAGTATACAGTATTGAACATTTGAAGATAGTATTAAGTACTATCATATTTAAATATTCGACGTATGAAAAAATACTTCGTATGTATTAATGTATTATGTATGATATGATATACAAAGTAAAAGATGTACAATAATATTTTATACAATCAAAGATAGGGAAAATATGTGAATATTTTTTTTAGAAAGTGAATCACAGTTATGGGAATTTTAATTCATTTTATTTAAGAAAATGAATCACAATTATATTATTTGGTTAATATTTATAACATATTTTACAATAAGTAGTTGACGTCGTTGGCAAAAAAAAAAGTTTTGGAGGGAAAAGAACAACACCAAGAAATGACACGTGTCATTCTTGGTGTATGTTTTAGTATTATGTTATTGATTGATTATCACTATTCAAATTTAAAGGAAGAAGGGTAGTTTAGTATTTATAGGGGACACCATATCCCCTTGCCTTAGCTTATATAATAGAGATATAAAATATTTTAATCCTCTAAAAGTAATTTTCTGATCTAGCCTTAAAACAAAGACCTCTTAAAAAAAAATCTGATATTAGATTATTAGATTATTAAAGTCATATATTAGATTATTAATATCATATATTATAATATTATTGTTAGATATCAGAATATTATGTTATATATTAGAATATTATTGTCAGATATATTGGACTCACGATGAGTCCGATCTCACGCAAAAGGTTCTCTATTTGAAATTAACGCATGCATATAAAGAGATAGTCATAATTTAAGTTAATAATTTAAGGAAAATTGACATCTCACTTTCTTTCCTTTATTAGATATTGAATTCAATTGGAGATGATTTTGATTATATATATTAATTGATTGATTGAAATTTTATATTTGTTTATTAATTGATTTAGTGTATTGGTTGACATAAATAAAAACATGTAATTTATTTATTTTTGGATGTAATTTAAGTAATTGATATTTATTTTTTTTATTTACTAATTGATTGGTCTTTCTTTTTTTGTTGATTGGTTGACTTTTTTTAAATTATCATAATTCAAAAATAAAGGGAGAGGGGTAGTTTAATTAGTAATTACAGGGGCACACTATAAGCCCTTGTGTTAATTTATATAATAGAGATTTAAAATATTTTAGTCCCCTAAAAATAATTTTCTGATCCCACCTTAAAACAAAGACCTCATAAAATAGTTTCCCCACCACCAATTCTCATGCCTTAATTAGGACTAAGAATAGAAGGGAAAGAAATAAAAATAAAAGAGTCATGCTCAACCACAAGGATCTCATTCATTAGAATACCTTTCATTTTATATTCTTTTTAAAAATTACATTTTATTTTATTTTCCCTTAAAAGTTAAAACAACACTCATTAAGTTATACAGTCTCTTCTTGTTCACATCATCCCTCATTTCTCCTCTACTACTCTACAACTCTATATATGTTTTCCTCTTCCCCTTGATCAAGACATCCCCCCATTTCTTGCCAACTCTTCTAGAGCTTCTCCACCCTCTTCTTCCCAAAAAAAAAAAAAAAAAAAAAAAAAAAAATGATGGATGAGAGAAAAATAGTAGTGGTGGTAGAAGAATCAGAAACAGCAAGAACAGCTCTAAAATGGGCTCTACAAAACCTCGTTCGATACGGCGATGTCGTGACCCTCCTCCATATATGTCCTCACTACCCTCCCAGGTCACGTAACAAGAAGAAACTCAGGCTTCTTCGCTTAAAGGGTTATCAATTAGCTCTTTCTTTCAATGACATTTGTACCTCTTCATCTATTAATGTAAGTTTAATTTATGTCATCTATTATTTCTCAAACCATATATTACAAAGTCATTTTTATAAATAACACACACATACAGTTGTATATTGTATGAATTTGAATATAGTTTATAATAAGTACACTATGATTATTAGTATTATTAATTGGTAATTATATTGATATATTATAGGTTTGAATTATACAGACGAAAATAGAGATAGTGGTGACAGAAGATGATGCAGAAGGAAAAAAAATGGTAGGGTTGGTTAGAGAAATGGGTGCCTTTGCTTTGGTTCTTGGTCTTCATGATCATAGTTTTTTCTACAGGTCAGTTTTTCGTAGCTAATTCCTACCCTTCAATTTTTATTATTGTCCCCTTAAAAAATTGAAATTTTGTACAGGCTGTTGTTACTAGGCTAGTTAGTAAAGTTTTTAGGGTGATACTCTTAACCTGAGATATAATCCTGTCTACATTACTAATCTTTATGCCGTTTTTGAGTGAGCAAAGAGAAAAACTTGTGGAGTGTTGGTTTGAAATGGTCCCTGGAGAAAGTAGAGACATATAGTAGAGTAGTTGAATTAGGATGACAATTAAATTCACATGATAGATGGATCAATCAACAACTCAAATGTCCTAGAAATGTATTATGTCTCACGCGCATTTCATTTACTTTCCTTTATGGTCTTGTAAAGATGAGTATATTGCCAAAGTTTGTTTCATTGTTTGGTCTTCTTTTGCACTTCATTACTTTACTTTTTTCTTACCTAAATAATAAGTCGTGTGTTATTAAATCGTGCATTTTATTAGATCGTTGTCTTAGTATAATGTGTCACTTTTGATGCATATGTTACACTTTTTTCGATACAATTTAAAATTTTATATTAAATTATCTATTAATTTAAATAATCAACCATTAAATTAAACCTTACATATAACAACATTTTTTTTTTTAAATTTAGTGTTGGGTGGTTAAGTCTCAGTGTGTTATTCTTCCAAGTTCCAAGCAAAACAACACTAGTGCCACAACACTCGCTAAAAGCCAAAGTTAGTCCTAGTACACCAAGTGTATTTACCACTAGATCATCATAAATATTGTTACATATAATGTCAAATGAAAAGAGTATTTTGTTTCAAATAAAAATGAAAAGAGTATTTAACAATTACCACTAGACTAGATACAAGTATATCGTTATATATATTATAATATCAAATGAAAAAGAGTATTTTTCATTATTAATACTAGGTTAAATTCTTAAATGTTGATGATTTGTTTAAAGCTATTGATGCTTTCATTTGATTAAAAAATTAATTAGCAATTATACATTTGATTTGGAAGTTGTGATTTTTAACCACTCCAAAAACCTACCAAACCCCAAAGAATTTATAAACTTTTTTTGTAGAGGGGTGAGCTAGTCATTAAGCAAGTTATATATTTGAAGTGACAAACAACATGAATCGAGGATAATATTTTAAATAGTAGATTATTTACTTTGGTCGGTCTTAAAAATAGAAATATTATGTATGTATCATAAATTCATAATGGAGTAGCTTTTTCCTCTCTTTAATGGTATTCTATGCATACAAGTCATACACATACATCATTGTTTTCTTTATTTACGGGTCATGTTATTTCTTGTTTTGGCACCTTAGGGCCTTAGGCTCATGCATGGATTATACAATATGTGAAAGGAAAGGTTTAATCAAGGCAACATTACAAGGAAAATTTTTAATTTGGAAAATTGTTTTATTTTATTTTTTTTTTTAAAAAAAGAAAAGAAAAGAGGGAAAAGGTATATTGTGTTGTGGCACGAACTAAAAATTTGGCCAATTTGAGATACATACAATTAAAAATGTCATGAACAAGTTAGAACAAATCCCAATTCCCACACATTGGTCATACACATTATTGTACTTGTGGGTGAGGGGTCACATTGGTCACCCAAGCTTTTGCATAAGATGAAATTAAAACAAGGATTTTGATAATCTTGTCAAAACAACACAAAGTCAATTTTATAAGCCACTTGTAACAGAAAAAGATGGTAGGCAATTTACAACTTACAAGTAACGTACATAAGCCAATTTACAACTTACAAGTAACATAAGCCAATTTACAACTACAAGTAACATAAGCAAATCCATAAATGGGAGAATCAATACAAATCAATGATAGGCAACCACCAACTAAAGATGATTATTAATTGCCCTAAAAAATTTCTTAATGGGGATAACTAGTTAAATCTAACATACAATTAAACCCAATATTATTTAGGCTTTAAAAAATATAACTCCAATTCCAACAAATAAAAGGGCACTTAAAGGGGAAAAGTGGGCTTGAGTTGGGATAAGAGAAACCAAATGAAGTTAAAGAATAAACTACGCTAAGCTAAGTACTAAATCGTCACACTGGAACAGTCCTTGTCAATGCCAATACACTAAGATCCTTTTGCCTCAAGCATGAGATAAACTTGAGCAGGGGTGAAGCCAGACTTGGTTGAGGAGGGGGCCAGTCTAATAAAAAATTATAAGGTGATAGGAGCCAAGCGCAAGTAGGACGAAGCACCACAAGGGACATGGCTCTCTTAGGCCCCAACTAAGCGTCCCCCCTAAGTGTCAAACCAACATCGTGATTAGCTAACCAATCGGCTGTCCAATTGGAAAGGAAGATGAGTGTACTATACAGCTATAAGCCTATACTTTCAAGGAAATAAAACTCTATAGCTTGCAGGATGATTACTAACTCGTACGATACCCCTCATACTAGCATAAGCATAGTAGTATAGTACCATAGTATACTTTGTATGTTTATGTGATTTTGTCATGAATTTTCAACTTAATATTTTTGGTATAAATATTATTTTGTCTCTTTCTAAACGGGCTACGTTATACGAAGTAATTATTATTGTCAAATTAAATAATATTTTCATACAATTGTAAAATTTATGTATCTAAGAAGCAAATTTGTAAGTGTTGTTTGGCTATCAGTTATTAATAAATTTTTTTTTCTTCTTGTGAAAAAAAAAAAGCAAATCTGCCTCTAACCCTTTAATACTAATACTCAAGAGAGCTTAGCTCAATTGGTATATATGTACTCAGCCTTCCTTAGGGGAGCTGAGGTCTTAGGTTTGAACCCAGGTAAGAGCGGTTTGTGCTCTTAGGAGGATGGATAGAGAGGAGTGAAGGGTAGGTTGTACTCGGTCGCCCCAAAAGTAAGACATTTTAATATAATATTTTATTACCTAAATTTGGGGTCTATTGATCACCACGACGTCTAGATAATTTATTGAGTCATACTAATCAATTTACGGAGTAATAAGTTCCTTAGCTTTTCTTCCTTACAATTATATAAAAATATTAATTAAACTAATCCATAGTTAAAAAAAAATGTACAAATGCGTGGTCGACATAGAATATTTTACTGTAATAGGAACAAACCAGAAGGTCCACAAAGATACTGATAAAATGAAAAATTGACATTTAAAACTTGGATGAGGTTGCTATGGTTATTAGCATTATCCAAGTCTCTATCTCAACCAGTACGTAAGTTGGCCATGACATCTCTTTAAATAAACTCGACCGCTTTATTCAATTCCCTATTTATTTGGCCTCGTCAACTTTTACTACTAGAACCCCGAACAATGGTGAAACAAATTAGTCCCATTGTCGCAAATAATGATCGCATAAATATGCTAGCTAACTACATTAGTTTGAACTCTTTTAAGATCGATGTTCAGTAAAAAGTGTCATACTACTACGACATATTTTTGATATGATAGATAATGGAGGGGTTGAAATATTGTGACAATTAGTCTGAATTGGATGAAGACCGAGACACGAGAATTCTTGGTTGTTTGGTTTTGATCGTACAAATGCATATTTTAGAGTTGTGAGATCATATCCTCAATTTCATTATAGTGGTACCATACGCTTGTGGTTGGGTGTTGAGCTATAAATCGTCACGAATCACTCCAAATAATGAGTATTTTAGTATTTATATATATTATGTGTTACATAATCTGTTTAGACAAATTAAGGAAATATTATGGTTGATGACATTAATGGATACGTAATGGCAGGTTGGCAATGAGACATGATAATATAACAAAGACATTGAATTGCAAAGTTCTAGCAATAAAACAACCAAGGCCGTCATGTTCATCGTCATCGGCTAGACTGACTACGAGTGCAAAATCATATGCATGCATCACACAACTCGAAGCTTCACTCACTTTGGACTTTTCTCAAATCGAAGTTGCTCCTTTGCAGTAAGATTCTTTATTCCCTCCTTTTAATTAATCTTGCTTTTGTCCGTACAGGAAAAGTCTTATATGATGCAGACTTACAATAACTAATAAACAAGATATGAGTATTGATTTCTAAGGATGACTTATAAGTAATTATCATACACAGTATATTATTAATTTTGAGCCAAGTCTCTTAAAAATTATTACTTTATAAACGATCACCTAGAATGTACCTCTTTTTATATGGTTAACATTTGAAAATTACTTCTAAGTTCTAATAAGTTTAAACAGAGTTCATCGAGTATAAGATTAAACTAATATTTTAAACTACCAATTATTAACTATTAATAAAACAAAACGTTACTGACGTCATCACTGTCCACATGTCACTCTTATAATAAAAAAATTTCCCGCCTAAATGCAAAGATGATGTCATTTTTTTTGGAGCTACTATATTTAACAATTTTGAAAATTAAATATTAGAAACTTCTACATTACAACTATAACCTATCAATGTGCTATTTACAAATGAAACAATTGTAAATAGCACACTAATAAATGGACTCCTACATTGAAATATGTATTAGGCAACATTAAACAGGTATTATATCATAATTTTGATGAAAATCTAAAATATAAAATTACAAATATTTTTGTACAAGGTGCAAAATTCTTATTTATATTTATTCATTTTTTTTAAATGTATAAATTATAAAAATAGATTTTACATAAACCGTGCATTGCACGAGTTCTAACCTAGTAAATTACTAAATTATCCATAAACTTAAAATCAGTCCATTACTTAAATTCAATCCATTACTTGTCTCTTTTACATTATCGAGGACAAAATTGTCATTTTATTTCCAAAACAATTATATGAGCATTTCAAGGTTTGTTGAAATTCATGATTTTGTAGGTGATTTTGAGATAATCACTTTTATTTTTCTCTTGAGTGTACGGAAGCACAAAGGAGGCCAGGATACAAGTTTTAGAATGTGGCATTTTGACCTCATTAGTCATTACTAGCAATTAGCAAGGATCTTAGTTTAAACCTATTTTTGTCCTATATAAATTAATTCATCTATTTATACGTTAGGTACAAATTAAAGATTACGTGGTTGATTGGATTGTAATATAGAACATTACGAGTCATGATCGTACTCATAAGAGAGAATTAATGTAGGTGGTCGGATTTCAATCACAAGTCTTAGATATATTCCAAATTTAAAGCAGACTCTAGTGAAAGCACTAAGCACTATACTACTATAGTACGTACTATACAACATCCAAAGAAGTTTCTTACAAGTATTTGTTCTTTGCCTTTGTTCCCTTGTATGGCTATACTTTTTGATTTTTAAATGACAAATTACCATAGGATTCTTTCCTCTTTGTAGGATAACTAGTTAATTCTTAACAAAAGAGGATAAGAATATTGTTAAATTATTAATGGGTAATTATTGTACATATAGATATAGACAAAGATCGAATTTAAACAATCTGCTATATGTCTGACAATTTTTATTTTATCAATTCTTTATTTTTAGAGCTTAATAAGGTTAGATGTTAGCTAAGGTTTGTTAGAAACGGAACTGGAGGAACAAAAAATAATAAGAACAATGTTATCGGGAATAAAACTGAGTCACGGATTATGTCGCTCTCTTTAGAACATTTACGGCACTGCCTTTAATTTGTGCAAGTAGATCAAACCTTCACCGGATATCCCACAAGATAAAACAGCCTCTCAAAATATAGTGTACCGGTGGATTTGCACAGAACCACCGGGCAAACTAAATAGCACAAAGTATTAGAAAAACTGCTCGAATATTTTAAGGGGAAGAGAGATTGGAATGGTTTTTCTGTGTTTTTAAAAAGCTTAACACGGTCTCCTTTTTGAAAACCACTAATAGCATAACAGCAGATTAAGTGCTAATTATGCCTAAAAAATAGTAGAAAACGGTCAAAAAATCAATTTTAATAACAGTCAAAATTGATTAATGTAAATAACGAGAATTAAATCAGTCAAAACGGAACAGAATCAATTAAAAACGGTCAGCAGTTAAGGCTTTAATTACGGGATTATTAAGGCAATATTCAGTAATTAAAGTGTATAAAAAATTAAGCTCAAGTTGAATTCAGTGCGTGTGGATGTGTTAGGTTAGGTCAATAAATAAGTCTCCCCTCTCCACAAAATGTAGGTAACCCTTAAGGCACATCCAATTATACTACACACTTCTATATAAAGAGAGCAAGATTCTCATTTCCCACCAATGTGGGACTTTGTAATTTTCACAAAATTCACACTTCACACTACTTTGTTTCAACAAGGTTAATTGCATAATGTGTTAATTATGATAGCATACATGCACATCAGCACATCTGTTATGCTCGGTATAAATTTTTGGAAGGTTCTATACATTTATTTTATCTATCTAGTCAAATAATTTCAGTTATGTATGTTTTGACATATAATTGAAAATTACTCGTAATAAAGCTATATAAAAAAAAAAATACTAGAATTGTGAGAATAATGAAGGATACATTCTTTCAAAAATATAAGTACGAAAATGTCGAATCCCGTCTCTAATAATCTCCAATGTTTTAATCGATTAACTTAGTTAGCATTTATATTATCACACTTAGCTTGAGTGTACTTTTAATGTTTAAAATGGAAGGAGCAACTTATTCACAATCAATAATAATTGGAAAACCACAAAGTATGTGACTATATTATCCTGTTTTTGGTGCAGAGTTCCTGATATAATCCCACAAAAGATTCCATACCAAATTTGTCCAGACCCTTCTGCAATAATATGGAGATCCAAGAAGACAAGGAGAAGATCACCCACACAACACTAACTAGTTTATCATTATTTATCCATACTTTTTTTTTTTTTTTTTTTTTTTTTTTTTTTTTTTTTTTTTTTTTTTTTTTTGAGTTTTGCCACTTTTTATATCTCATTTTATGGTATTTTCTTTTAGCTAGGTTTGATATGGAAAATAACCAAAGAAAAGTAGTTGAAAAAATTAAAATCATGCAAGTGGTTGCTTTTGAAATTAAACAGAAAGTGTTGATACTATACATGTAGAAAGAAAACATACATTGTGGATTTGTGGGAACAAGATTTGGTGGTCTAAAATATTTCATGACACTTTTTATGTGTGACGAGATAAGTAAGTGTAGATGTGGGTGTGTCAATAATTGAATTGCTACATAGCACCTTTGTTTCTCATATGTTGCTCTTGGGCCTCTTGCTATGTATCATCTCTATTCTCTTTATCTTTTCGTACATAATACTTTCTTTAATTTCTTACATATACTTTGTCTGCTTTAAAATAATCTCAACAATAACTTTGGCACTTTTATTTCACTTTTATTTTTACTATTTATGTAAATTGTACTATTGTTAATTTAGTAATTATATTATTATGTAAATTTTTACAATATCAAAGTTTTATAATTTTTGGTATATACCAAAGATGGCTTTGGGCTGGACCCGCTCTCTGCCCAGCCCATCCATCCCTTAAAAGCACACCCTGCCCCACTATTGTTAGTGATGGGTCTAAGCCTATTTTTTTTTATGGGTAATATATATGTAGCCCTTAGGGTTATATATAAATATTAAATATACCACCTAAAATAGAATTAAGTTGAAAATTAATGGTAAAATCACGCGCAGATTGATGTAATTAATGTTACTTTATCCTCAATATTTTCTTTTTTAAATTTTTATACATAGTCCTAAGGGCTATGTTTATTATTATCCTTTTTTTTATTTGGGCTATTTTAGCCCTCTGTCCATTTTAGACCCACTTGAGCCCGACCAATGGGCCAAAATCCTAGTAAAGCACAACCCTGCCCTTGCCTTTTGTAGTTTTGTACTTATATTTTCTCTTTTTATAACCATTCTACTATTTTTAATTACACATTTCTTCCTTTGGTCAACAGTTTAACAATTTTTCTTTTTCTCTGATCATTCCTTATATTTCTAGGCTATGTTATTATTATTTTAGCTTCGTAAAAAAAAAAAAAAAAAAATTTAGCTTCGTCAAAAAAATAAAAAATATTATTTTAGCTTATATTCTATTACATACTTTGTATAAAATTACTAGAGCAGCAAACATGCACTATAGCTAACCATATATGAGGAGCTCTTTCAGTTTGATTTTATGTCACAAATTTAGGTGTTGGCAATATTAATGAGAGGAAATATGTTAACAAATGTCTACACACTATTCTTAATTTTTTTTTAAAAAAAGACAATTAACAAAAATAAGGTTTAATAAGTAAATAAACATTTTAAAGGTAATAAATGTTCAATATATCCATAAGAGTTATCTTAAATTTTTTAAAAGGTAGGAATTGACGATATAATATGAAGGGTTTTTTTGGTATGATAAATTAGCAAAGTGGATAACACGAAATTAGTAATGCATTTTTATTTTATTTTTTTAATTAAAGAAGCCCGTGAGCTAACTCTTGGACCAACCCAGCTCAGCCCTTGAGTCCATGGGCTTGAGTGTGCTTGGGCCTTACTTCTCAAATTTTGAGCCCGGCCTAACCCATTGGTGTCCGGACAGTCCATGGACTTGACCCACGGCCCGACAAAGCCCAGCCCAAAGCCTTCTGTTCTTCCTCTAGAGAAGCCAAAGCCAAGTGCTTAGAATATAGGCTTGACTATTAAAGCTAAAAGCCGTGGGAAATAAATCAGAACCACCTCAACTACCAAAGCAGCGTCGCGGCTCCTGTAATTTGTTCAACTTTCTCTCTCATCGGCTGGCTCATCAGATCCGGCGCCTCAGCTTCCCGCTTTTCTTTCCCTCTTTCAATTTCTCTCTGAAGAACAACCTCCTTCTGCTGCTACTCCTCTCGCCAATGCCGTTCTTTGGTACTTTCTCTCTCCTCTCTCTTTTAAATTCCTTGTTTTTGTTCTGAAATGTGATCATGTTAATGTAATTTCCATTTATTTTTTGTTGTTATTTGTAGAACTTCATTGAATTTTTAGCTAAATTTTTCTCCCAATATCATAATTGATCAACATTTATGGATAAGGTAATCTTCGAAAAATCAGTCTGTTTTGATTTTTCATTAATTGATGAGATTTCCATGGTTTTCGTATAGTAAGATGAGACAGTGTATTACTATAGCTACTTGCACAAGGAGGAGTTTGATAGGGAAAAGCGCCAAAGGCTGTTTAGGTAGTTTAGATAACTATTTTTTTATGTATATGTATAATAATTCAATCATATACCAAATGTATCCTTAGGCAATATCCCCTATGATTGCGAATAGATTGTTCTCATAACACTCTTCATTCGGTCAAGGATAGTGTTATAGGATGATTTCATTTAGTCTTATTTCAACCCAAATTGGAATATTGACATTGAAGCCTTTCTTAGCTTTTTTAAGTATGGAGTGTTAAGCGATAACAATTGAATATATATTAAACCGTAGCATGCTAAGTTTGGAATGGTGGTTTCCATTAGTTCTTAATATCTTTTTCCAATTTTATATGAGGCTTGCCCGGTTTATCACCTTTGATTAACATGAGTTGTTCATCAAATGGCAAATTTCTAATTAATTAAAAAAAAAACATTGTTCACGGTAAAACCGCTAACATCATTAGCGGTTCTACACTTCTACCATGAATAGTGTTTATGTTTTTTGCAATATTCATAGTAGAACCTCTAATGTTGTTAGCGGTTCTACCATGAATAGCGCAAAAGAAATCACTGTTCATAGTAGAACCACTAATGGTGTTAGCGGTTCTTTGTTTTTGTTTTTTTTTCTTTTTTTTTTTTGTTATTTATTTACAAATTTGCCACTGTGATAAATAACTCATGTTTATCAAGGTGATAAACTTGTATTTTCTCATTTTATATTTGCTTCTTGTAAGTCATAAGTATAAGGGTATGGTTTAATTCATTTGAGCTTTAGTATCTTGACAAGGTAAGCAACATCAAATTATTGCAAAAATGATCTTCATTCCTGTAGAGAAGTAACAATAATCTGAAAGTTTTCAAAGGTTGCCGATGAAAGCTGAGTGTGGAACTTCAAAAAGTCTAAGTGAGAAGTCATCACAAAACTGATCTGGCATGAGTGGAGTATTTATCTACCCTTATGAGTTGATAATATTTTTTCCTTGTTTACAATGTGGGACAACACAATGCATACCACTAATATGAGGTTCAGCAGTCTCCCATCATATATATGTCAACGATTCTAAATTTTGAAAAGAAATTGAAAATGGGTCCAGGCTTCACATGAAAGAGGATGAGATTTTATAGATTTTTAATCACTAACAAAATCAAGTGAATCCATCCCAAAACCTATTAGCAATGGAAGGGGTAATTACTTTCTTAACTTGTGGTCGTTTTCTTTCTCCTTTACGTGCACACACATACTCAACAAAGGGACCCAACTGATTCTCCTAGATATTAATTGCTATTTATTCATGTAAGGAAATGGAGTATTGTGTGATTGCAGCGTACCTTTAAAGTTGAAGGTTACAATCTTCATATATGAATTAGAATGTTGGGCATTTAGGAAGGGTCATATTAGAAAGATGGGTCTAGCAAGGATGCATTTGTTCAAATAAATGTGTGGAACGCCTTACAAGAAAATGTTAGAAATGAAGATATTTGAAAGAAAGTTTTGAAATAAAAAAGAGAGAGACAAGGGAAAATCAGTTTTGTTGGTATGGACATGTAAAATCAGTTTTGTTGGTGGGGAATTGGGATCATGAGTATTGTAAATGAATCTAAGGGTGCCTACGGATGGAGGGAGTTAAAAATGATATGAGAAAATTGGGTTTACATGAGGATATAGCACTTGATAGAAAGGAGTGGAAGGAGAGGATCTTTGTTGACAACCATCATAAATAATATGTTGGTTTATGCAGCCAACTCGACATATTGGGATTATGGCTTTGGTTGTTGTTGCAAGGATGTCACATTAATGTGATGGAAAAGGGAAACTTTTCTCTAGAGCTTAGTGTCAATTTGTGGATGCTTATGAATGCTTTCATGACCTGTTGTGAGTTAGACATGATTTGCTTCACCCTACACATTTTTGACATGTTTTACTCTACTGTTTGAGAATTCAAAGAAGCGTCCCTTTGTTTCTATGCAGTGTGAATATGATATTTAAAACCATTGATGCAGTTTATGGAAATGCAATTCAAAAATTTTAATGAATGATGCAATATGCTATCTGTTGCAGCTATTAGCGTAAGGTTTTACTATCTGAAAAGCTCCTTGCTATGAGAAAGAATAAATCAAAGATGTCACTTTCCTAATGGAAGATTTAGTTTGTAGTTGTGCTGATTTGTTGAGCATCGGAAGTGGACTATTTGCTTGGGACTGAGGAAGATTATGGAGTGGAATGGTAGTACAACTTTCCGGAACTTGAAAGGTAAAATCTTTTTCTGGTCCATATGTCTCTAAGAACCATGAAATTAAGTCTTGCTCTTCATGATCCAATTTTAAGTTCAATAACATGCTGTGTTGATCAAGCTCTGTAATTCTTGAGGCTATATAACTGCATATGCTTCAGATTTGTGGCTTCTTGAAGTGTTTTAGACAGGAGGGGTTGGATTTGAGCACATAATATAATTCTCCTTTCATGATTTTTTTAGAAAACTAATACGTGATTCCTGCTTTTAATATTAGTGTTTGATAAAATATGATTATAGATCACGTGTAAGCTCTCTTATTTGTTAAATTGAAATATAATTCTTTGCAACTCTTACAGAAAGAGTGATCAGAGAAGAGGTATATTATAAGCTATCTGCCTATTTGAATTACAAGAGAAGCTGTAATCTGTTGCATGCTAGTATACTTATCTAGATGTGCATTTAATCATGCTTTTTTTTACTCTTGACAGCCTATAAATACTCCTTACTATCTAACAAACTAGATTTCAATTGATTGCGCTTTTGGCTATTGAGCTTTCTTATACATTGATGGAACCTGAGAAAATGATGCTGTTTGGTGGAAATCGTGGAAGAAGAGTCTGATCCAGTAGAAATAAATAGAACAGCAATGGCCTTTTTTTTTTTTTTTTTTTTTTTTTTTTGGGTTGTTGTGTGTGTGTGTGTTTGGGTGGGGTGGGGGGGAGGGGAGGGGGTGGCGGGGGCACAAAGCTGCTTGACAGAAGAAGAGGAAAACTGGTGAGGTACATTTTGTGATCCTTTCCAGAAAGTATTAGCTCCTGGGAATTGATTAAAGTTACTAGATGAGCTTGCTGATGTTGGTTGCTGGAACACTAAACTGGAAGCATGCTCATTGAACTCATCCAAAGCAAGAACTTCCACAAGAGTGTTGGACTGAGATTCTCATTTGAGCTCTTCTTGGATTAATTAACTACTAACATCACTCAATTTCTTGCTATTTAAATTAGAATTTCTTATAAAGTAGTGTGGACCGCTGAAAGCATAAGGTTGTTGATAAACTGATACCAATGCAAGCTGGGTTGTGTGATGACTGCTTGACTAGCATGTAGCATGTGTTTTCTGTGTGAGATTGGCTAAGTATCTTTTTATTTTATTTTTTTATTTTTGGGCAGTGTTAACTGTGATATACTTCCTCCGTTTCTTTTTAGTTGACACGTTTCTTTAGTCACGTTTGCCAATGCATAAATTCAATCGTTATTATCTTTAATTTCCGATAAGCAAAAATTCTAAAAATTTGATATTTAGAAAATATATATCGTGAAGATTATAACAAGATCCCACACCACTATATTTTTTATTACATATAAATCACAAAACACGGTCAAAGGGAAGTGTGTGAATAGTGCTAAAGTCAAAACGTGTCAACTAATAAAAAACGGAGGTAGTATATTAATTATTAAATTTCAGAAGTTAATGGGGTTAATTAAGGTTTCAAATTGCAATGAGCTAAGATTTGTTTGTTACTGCTAGACTGATTGACATGTGAATTCTTAGCATGATTTAGATTTGCTCTAATTTATTTACAAGTTGTTTTGGGATTTGAAATGTTAGTTAGGATAAGCTCTATACATTCCTAGATGGATTTAGGTATCATTGTGGTGTATCTTTATTATTTATACTAGGATTCTGGAGCTGTTTGCACATATTCACTAGACAGTTTGATGGGAATAGATTTATTCAGCACCTTCAGTTTCTTAGTGATATTGAAAAATACATTCCTTTTCTTAATGAACATAAGAGTCAGAGAGGATTCATAGTGAGCTTCGAAGCTTCAAACAACCTTAATGATTTTTGTTTGAAGCGTTTCATCTTTTATTGCTTTTTTTTTTTTTTTTTTTTTTTTTTTTTTTTGCTCTGGATTTTGACATTTTGCATTGAAGCGCTTCCCCCCTCCCCTCCTCATATATTTTGTGAGCATTTGCATCCGGAAAATGAAAGTGAGGAACATAATTTAAATAATAAGGCATGCTCTTTCTTAGATCTAATGATTGTTGATGAAACTATAACATACTCATAGAAAATGCTGCCAAGCTTTTCCTATTGCAATGCTGGATCATAATTAAATGATGTTGCACATGTCCTTGGTCTGAATCTAGGTACAATAATGATTATCTTCTTCCTTTCATATTTCCTCTGATCTTATTTAGCTTATATGGTAGCTGATCTGTCAAAGTTTCACCTTAAGATCTCAATTCTCACTCTTTTTTATACTGTTTAAGAAAATCGAGATGGCAGTAATGCCAGTAAATGTAAATGAATCCTTCTCTGAATAAGTGATATGAATATTGATATATCAGCGATTCGTCTTCTTGTTTGTTTATGTAGATATAGAGCCAAAATCTGTGATGGATATGGGAATCATTTCAAATATTGATGCAGTTAATGTGGCCTTAATTCCTTCTGAGAAAGGAAATGACAGTCCATCATCAAAACCACGAAAGAAGACTATGACATCGGTATATCTCAAATATTTTGAGACTGCTCCCGATGGAAAGAGTCGTAGGTGTAAGTTTTGTGGACAGATGTACTCCATTGCAACTGCGACTGGTAAATTTTCCTGTCCTACCCTTCTTTATGTCTAGATGAATCAAAATTGTATATAAATATTAACTGATTCATTTTATTCCCTTCCGATAGCACATTCACACTGTGATTATGACGCAATATATGTTCATATTCACATATATATATGAAGCATAATTGAGAAGCATTATATCTTTCTGGTATTCCCTTTCATACATCCCTCATTCTTTAATCCAAACAAACTGCTGAAAAGTAAGATTAAGAAAATGCTGGGGTAATTTCCTTTAATTCCCTTCTTTCTACTGTAAATGGTTTTCTAGTGATTTGATATCTCTTCCAACTTGATATGATGACCTTGTCATTGATGAATTTCTTTTAAATAATATATTCTTTATTCATTTTGTGCTGATTTGTCATGAATGGTGATAATTATGCGCATTGATCTTTGATCATTGTATAACACCCTCTCTAATTTTTCTTTCTGAAGGTAATTTGGGAAGACATCTTGGTAGTCGCCATCCAGGATATGATAAATCTGGCGATCTGATCCCGAGTACTGCTCCACTGACCAGTCCCACTGTAATAAAAAAATATCAATCTGAAGCCAAATCACCAAAATTTGATCTTGATTACCTGAATTGGCTGCTTATTAAGTGGCTAATTTCGTCTTCTCTACCTCCCTCAACCTTGGAGGAGCCCTGGCTGCTAAACTCTTTCAAATTTGTCAACCCTTCCATTCAGATTTGGTCTAAAGAGAAGATCCAGGGTGTTTTATGTGAAGTTTTCAGGAGCATGCAGGAAGATGTACAGACAACTTTGCAACAGGTGTCCTCTAAGGTTGCAATTGCGCTTGAATTCTGGACTTCTTATGAACAAATATATTACATGAGTGTTACGTGCTATTGGATCGATGAGAGCTGGACTTTTCAAAAGGTCCTTCTTAATATTTGTCGCATACCCTATCCATGTAGTGGTGCTGAGATCTATCATGCTTTGGTTAACGTCTTAAAAAATTATAATATTGACGACAAAGTCCTTGCTTGCACACATGATAATAGTCAGAGTGCAATGCATGCATGCCACAAACTAAAAGAAGATATGGATGGGCAAAAGGTTGGACCTTTCTGCTATATCCCCTGTGCAGCCCAGACACTAAATATGGTGATAGAAGATGGTTTAAGAACCACAAAACAAATAATCTCTAAGGTCAGAGAGTTTGTTATAGAGACGAATGCTTCCCCTCTGATCATGGAGGATTTTATTCAGTTAACCACAGCTTATCAAGAAGGCATCTGGAGATTCCCCCTTGACAATTCCATTCGTTGGAATGGACATTACCAGATGATGGATATTGTCCGCAAGGTAAGCACCTTCTGTAAAATACTCCATGAGAGAGATGAGTGCTAGTTAAATTCAAATGCCATATGAAACAAGGTACAGAAAGAGTGCCTGATGTAATTGGATGATTTATCTTCATTTTAGGAGTTTGGGGAATGGGATGCACCAAGAATGGATTTATGAGAACCTGGGGGATGATAAATTGGGATTATGTAGTTATAATTTTTTTCTTCTGATAAATATCCAATGAGTAAGCATCATCCTAGCTAAACTGTGATCTGATGTACATTTGAAAACTCGGGTATTGAATTATCTATTATTCGAATGTGGTATCAATACTAAGGTTACTGTAATTTCTATAACCTTCCCTTTCAGTGCATTATGTCTCCCTGCTCTTATGTTGTATCTATCTAAGTTCCAACTTATATACTTGGAACAGGATTCCTATACTATATGTAATTGACAGAGTTAAGTGTGAAATGTCCTTTAGAAGATCATATGGATAGATTTTGAGGTAGAGGGAGGTATAATGGCTGTCTATAGCAGAGATCAGCTCCCGTATCTCCCTAAGATTGCTGTGTTCAGTTATCCCCTTTTTAATGGTTAATGGCTTTAGTGGTTATAAAAGAATTGCTCAAAAAGATTGTTCCTAATATTTGAATCTAAATTTAACTTCATACTTCCTCTATTATATTTTAATGTTGCAACATAGGGAGATTTATGCTTCCCAAAGCAAAATTTAACTCTAAAATATCTTTTATTATATAATAGTAAAAATTAAAAAAATAATTGATATTGTGAAATTATATATCGAGACGAATCTAACAAGACCCTACATGGCTAATTCTCCTTACATATAAATCACAAAGGAGGAGTGTATGAATATTGAATAGTGTCAATGTTGCAATATTAAAAGCACGGAGAAGGTATTAAGTAAGCTTTTTATTAACCAATTTGGGGGGAGGGGGGGGTGTTAACACAGTTTAACAACAGCAGTCTTGTGGTATAAGGTTTAGAGTCTAGTCAAATGCGTGGCTTCTTTCTTTTTTTTATTTGTTTTCGTGCTATTGGATCAAGCGGAGGCTGATGTTCTCAAATTAGATCAGTTCTTCTGATTTCTTCAGAACTTGTACTTTGGAAGTAAAAGTTTTTGTTTTTTTTTTTCAAAGTAGGAAGAGATGAAACTTTTCGGTTGCCTTCCATCTTTCTCTATAGCTTTAAAGTCGTGCTGTGGGTGTCAAAAATTGCTGCATTTCCTGGAGAATGTGTAATTGTTTTGTGTCTTGGCGTTATAATTTTGGCTTCTTGAAGCATCACAGGGCTTATTCCTCTTGGGGATGATACCCAATCTTTGTGGCCTTTATTTTTAATTTAGGGAATGTATCACTTTGAGTCTTCATTCTTTGAAAAAGGTTTTAGGATACAATCATGTGTTGTTTCTCTGTTCAGTTGTCATTATCAAAATTTAGGAGATGAAACTTGGAAGTATTACTCCATAACTGTTCACTTTCCTGTCTGAATGAATTACTTTTGAAAACCCAAAGCTGAATATTGTGAGAAATAGGCCTGCTTTTGTGTTTATTGAGTTCTCTCTGATGGAGTTGAGTTCTGTATTATATAATTGTCGTTTTTGTTGTTGTATATTATTTAGGGATTCCAAGCACTTGGGAAGGGGTGATTGCTGTCCTTGCTGAGGGGGAAAGGGGTGGTGATTGATTTCTGTTTATATATATATATATATTCTATTTCTTTCGCGGTGTTTGTATTTGTACATTTTTGACAGATGACAGATATAATTTAATGTAAGTTTACATTGTAGTGCAGGCCAGCAAGTCCATGGATGGTGTCATTAGGAAGCATGAAGACTCGTTAGGTAGCAGAATGCTTCTAAATGCTGCCGAAAGGAATGCAGTTACCATTATGCATGGATACTTGGAACCCTTCTACAAGACCACGAGTGACATATGTGCAAACAAGGTTCCCAGCATTGGCCTAGTACTGTTTTTCATGGATCATATATCTGAAATGATTGCAGCATGCAAAGATTCTTGCCATAATCCAGATTGGCTAAAGAGTGCTGCAGAGGAAATGTCACTAAAATCCAGCAGTTACAATGACCAGGTTTCCAATATATTTACTTACATGACAGCAATTCTTGATCCTCGGATCAAAATAGAACTCATCCCAGAAACACTTAACTTAGAAAACAATTTGGAGGAGGCAAGAACCCATTTCCTTGGAAATTATTCGACCAGTCATTTTTCATCCGTGAACAATATATATTGTGCTTCAGAGAATGTAGATGGTGGTATCGTATCTTTTGCAGAGGAAATAGCCCGAAAAAAACGGAGGGCTAGCATGAGTGTTGCAACTGATGAGCTGACCCAATATCTCTCAGAACCGCCAGCTCCACTAACAACAGATGTTTTGGAGTGGTGGAAAGTTAATAGTGTACGTTATCCACGGCTGTCTATAATGGCTCGGGACTTTTTGTCAGTGCAGGCAACATCTGTGGCACCTGAAGAACTCTTCTCCAGTAAAGGGGATGAATTGGAAAGGCAAAGGTTTGGTTTGCCCGCTTCAACTGCGCAGGCTCTACTCTGTGTTAAGTCATGGGCCAACAGTGGGATTAAGTTGAAATACAGATTAAGTGAAATTGACTATGATATGCTTATGGAGCTGGCTACTGAAACTGCATCTGAGAATTGCAAATTAGGTTCTGACAAGAAACAAAAATAACGGAGCGCCTGACTAGAATCTATGAGCAGGTATGATAGTTTAGATAAAGAAGTAAACCAGCTATTCTGATTTGTAAAGTGCGATGTAATTAACTAACCAGCAGCTAACCTGTTGTAATTTTTTTTTTCTTCATATTTTATGTATGTTGTCCGATACATCATACATGTGTATCAGAAATGGTATTGTAGAACTGTTGAAGGATATCTGAGTTAGCATTATATCAGAAGATATCCATGTATTTGAGAAGTGATATTGATTGTTGTAGTACGTTGTATATTGTATTAGGTTTTAGTTTCTTTATCTCATCGAGTGTTGAGAAATTATTTATTATTATATCCGCCTTGAAACAAAAGAGAGATTTATTTATTATTTATAGTACAACAGGGGTATGTTATGTTAGGATTTGCAATCTTCCATCTTTCTTCTCTTCATGTCCACTCTCTTCTCCAAAACCCTAGTTTATCTGTGTCATTTAATGTGATTATTTATTTGTTTGCTTCAGTGTATATATGTTCTGCATTGTCAAACATCTAGTTTCATAATTATAAGAACTCGGGAAATCAAATTAGAAACATTCCCATTAGATCAGAATATCAGATTTATAACTAGTACTAAATATCTTGAATTGGAATTAAATACTTGAAACAAAATTAACAAGATCCCACTTTATTTATACTTTTATATATTAATCTTAAAGAGAGGTCAAATTTATAGTCAATCCATAACATCAAATCAGATCAAACCGTGTCAAAATCAGTCCAAAATACCTTATTTCAAATAAAGAGAGCATAGTTACCCACTTTTTAAGAGAATCATACCATGGTCAATTTCTGCTGTTTTTTTAAGTTATGAGTTGAGAATTTGAGATCAAATTATAAAATTTAAAAAAAATGTAAAATATTTCAGCAATGAAGCACTATCATAATAAAATAATACTTGTAATTAATAATAAGGAATCAAACTTGAAAAGGGATTAAGCTACTCGGTATATATATGACTTACACCTCATATCACACCTACTATAAGTGTAAAACTAAAAAAAATCATCATACTGAATTGTGATTTATTATTCTAGTTGGCTAAATCATTCTAAACAACGTTCAAAATAATACATAGACAACGATTCCTGTCAAAGAATGCTGGGATCAAAACTGCTTGGTGCAGAAGTAACATGAAATGAGCCTTCACTTGTATACTGGGATCAAATTTACGACATTAAATATGAGATCCAAACCAAACACCTTTACAGTAGTTAGCCTTGTCATCAACAAGTATTTTAACACAATATCTGCACATTAAAATAGGTGTTCTTTCCCATATTCACGCACAATTACTGGCACGCTTGTAGGTGGAATCTGTATGAAACAAATACTGTAATCAGCAATTGAGGAATAAACGTAGAGTATCAAAGGCTGCATTTTTAAAAATTTGCATCAAGCTCAAGAAATGGCAATGGTTTAATCTATAACTGTTGAACAGCAGTAGCTACGACAGCTAACTTCTGCATCCCCCCACCCCCCCCCCCTCCCCACCCCCTCCTCCTCTCTTTCTCTCTCTAAATTAATGCCTCATAATTTTGTAACATATGGAATAATTACTTGGTTTAAGAATCTGGAAAAAGTAGGATGCAGGATGATTACTTAATAGACAGCATGTTGATCCAGCATAATAAAGAATATAAGGAACATCAAAAGGAAAACTTGAACAATACAGCACATTAACATTGCTGTCCCAAGAAAAATGATACGAAGTATGAATTTTCAAAGGGTAGAGTATTATGAATATAAGTAACAAAACAGGTGTGGGGCAATAGTATTGAAAGCAAAAATTTACCAACCAACAAGAAGAAGCTTACCATGCCATAGTCAGTGACAATCAACGATATGTAATCTGAGGGAGTAGCATCATATCTGTAAATGACATCATTTATGTCATCAGGTCTAAAAAATACACAACTGTTTGTGTTTTATCCAAAATAAGAAAGGAATATACAAGTATGATACTCACAATAAATTTAGGAGCTGCAAATTTTTCTTATTCATCCAATCGTCCAAATAATTTAGATCCTTTCTACCAGATACCTTAGCTATAATGTCAGGATCACCTGCAAGCACTCATCATTAGACAAAATCTGGGAGCTCTATGAACACAACTAAATAAAAGAGGAAAGTGAATTACCAAGTTCATTAGTACATATGGAATCAAGTAGGACCCTCTCATGAAACTTGTAGGCTTCACAGCAAATAAGTACAGGAACGCGGAAAGAATGAGCAACCATAGAAACACATGCGGTTCCAATTCTTGAATAAACAATTCCGTTAGACAAAATGGAAGCGGCACCTAAGAAAACTTTTGTGACTTCATGCATGACATAGGAAACTGCATTAATATGCGTGTATGTACAGCTCAACCCTTTTGCAACCAGTCTTCGAAGCAATCCTTGACCTTCAAACTTTGGTCGTGAATCAACTATCACAACACGGAACTTTTTCCCAAGCTCATGAGCATATACCAATACCATTTCAACAACACTAGAACAACCGTAAGTAAGAAGAACATCACCGTCCCTAACTTTTGTGACAGCCTGTTGCACAATTACTTTGTCTGCTATTACGATTTTTTCATTAATAAAACGATATATATCAGAAGATAACGTAGCTTTTGTATCTGTCTCAGAAAGATTTGAAGGCAACTTCGCAATGCGGGTCTTTACGTATCTTATTGCATTACCCATACTGATAGAGAGGGGGCGGCATTCATTTAGGAATGACACATAGCTACTGATCCTTGTCGCTAGATCTCTGGTTAGAATTTTGTCTGCAGGGGTATGGTAGTCTTCAATGGCTTCTTTAAAAGCATAGAGCATTGCAATACATCGTGCATTACTTCCAGATACATCGCCCGACAAATATTGCAAACCCACCTGACATCAAAAGCAGAATGTCGTTTAAGCAGATACCAAGTATATTTAAACTATTTTGGTTGAATTTGATCAACTGAATTCTTCTTTCTCTAAGCTCTAAGGTTTCAGATTGAGAAATACTCTAAAGCACATTGCCATTTAGCTTGCTAAGGTAGGAAAACAACTGACAATGTAGGGGACACTTGGTTGTCTTATACAGTATTTACTTTTCAATTTTTTTTTGTTAATTGTTGGCTTCTGGATTTTGAACAATTAGTTGCCAGATAAACCAATTTCTTTCTAAAAAATAAAAATAAGAAAAGCACAACAACAAAAACTGTACAAGTCTAATTACTCCACCAGATAGCTCAAGTAACAATAAGGCCAAACCAGAAATCAATGTTCTTATGCGTTCTCATGAAAAAAAAAAAAGAAAAAAAAAAAAAAATCTGGAAAGGGCATGACATTTAATATGAGTTTTACATAATTTGAGTTCCATATGATATTTAATAAACAATAAAATACTAGGAAACTCAAAATGATGCATGGTGTTCTCCGACTCATCGTTACTTTAGACGGTGAAGATGTTATGGACTTCCATTCAATCAAGAAGGAATACGTTTGGATACATTAACTAATGGTTAATACCATCTATGAATATTTCATTTTTTCTATTTATTTTGACTTCAAAATTAACCTGTCCTCATCTTATAATCCACATTCTTCTAAGGTAATAACTCAAATTTTGATGAGCCTAGAACTTGATATATCAATGCTGAACTTATAGAAAACCTAATATGTTATTTATATTGATTATTGAAAAATTAACAGATAAAAAATGACATTAAACCTAACCCCATAAAGATGATGTTCACCATAGTAGGTCCTTTTCCGATTGTGCACCAAACCAATCATTTTAAACCTTGGATTTGTTTTACCCATGATAAGAGCCTTGATAAGGGCAAAATAAGGAAGGAATCTAGATGCCGTCCAAAAATTAATTATGCATTGGCTTGCACAAGAAGTGGATTACAGGCACTCAGTGGATATGACGGATTTAGATAGAGTGAGAAATCAGTGTAAGCAGACCAACAGTAAAAATGAGAAGAGATGTAAAAGTATTCATTCAGAATTGTTGCTTCTCTTTCTTCTTTTAGGGTTTTACTGGTGATTTCACAATTCACAGCACCATTAAAACAAATTATCAGTTACTTTCAATCTTGCTTCTTAATGATTTCCTTCACGATATCTCTGTTCATTAACAGTTTTCAAAATTCTATGAAACGCACTTACAAAAACCAAGGCCAGCTCACTCACAAGCCAATCAGATAGGAGAAGAAGGTATCTAGCTTAAGGCATTCTTGACTTGGAAACCACAATCTTAACTTTGTCTCATAGCTATAATTCTGTAGTGGTTTTTACCATTGACATTTGAACTTTATTTAATTATCATCTATAATGCTGATAAAAACAAAAATCAAATTGATCAAAAAAGCTGGTAAGTTGATGTACCTTGTACACAGCAGGATGAACTGAATCAAGATTGAAAAATTTTGACTCGAGGTCACGGAGCTGATTTCCACGTTCATACTGAGGCAAATGCTGAAACAGCTCCACTCTGTTTCTAGCTTCAGGTTTGTCAATAACAGAGCGCTTTTTAGCCTTTTCCACTCTGCTCTTGTCATCATACTGCATCCGAGGATGGGGAACATCCTTCTTCTTGTCTTTCTCCGGTGGCCGATCACCTCCTTTCATTTCAGATACTGACACTGAGGATGTTGCCAAAGGAACATCTTTTTTCTGTGGATACTGCTTAGATGCTTTGGTTGGCTTTTCAGTGACAGGAGGTGCCACTCCATAAGCCGCAGCTGCAATAATCACACCCACCACTTGGTTAAATCAAGCAATGTCTTGCTAAATGGTCATGTATACACAGTATTCAAAAGCAAGTATCCAAAAATATTCTAAAAATTAAAAATTATAAGCACTAAGTGCAATATTTGACAGCAATCAAACAAAAGTTCAAAGTTCAAACTAATGACTAACCCCTCCCCCAACCTCATACACACACGCACAAAATGAATGAAAAAGTCTGAACCTTTTTTAGTAGATTTGGCAGCTCTCTGAGCCTCTTGTAAAGCGCGCCTTTCAGCTTTGCTAGTTTTATCCTTCAACGGTTTGGAGGTCACCTTTTTGTCTTCATGGTGAGACACTTGTACTTCTGATATATTTCCTCCCTTCTCTGCATCATTGGTTTCATTAAAAAAACTGCAACATAGATCATGTTCAAATATAAAAAGAGATACTTACTGAAGGCAATTTAATATAAAAGTAAATTGATTCTATGTATGCAATGCAATGTGAGAAGGAAAAGAAAAGGAACCAAAAAAAAAAAAAACTCACAAAAAAAAAGGCCACAAAATGCATATATTAACATCTACACCTTCACTACTCAAAATAAACAAGCTTTTATTCTTGATGCATAGCTAATTTCAACGTTTAAGTTCACATAAAAATCAATTTCAACTCATTGATGTTGCCAACCAGCAAACAAATACAGTGACCGATAGTTATGAATGCAAATATACTGGGAGTATCAGATTCAGAAAGCTTATTACTGGCTTCAACTGGATCCATTCCACTACCAACACACAAGAGCGAGATCAAAATGGTTGATTTGAAACAACTTAGCTCAGATCATGAACTAAATCATTATACAAGGGAGCTCTTCTTACAAAAAACTAAACTCCGAAATCATAAAGGCAGATTAAAAAATAAAAGCTTACACTATCCCAAGAATCTTCTTATCACGAATCAAACCTAAAAAGACTATGCAACTTCACACCGCTTGTAATCAAGATAATAATATTCCCCAATTCTGCTCCCAAAAAAGCATCAGATTGCAGAAAATGTTATCATATCTTAAAAATAAATTCGAATATGACAGCCCCAAAAGCATTTATACCATTGCCCCCATGTATATAAAAAACAAAAATCCATCATATAAATTGTAATTTTCCCACATTACACTATCATCCAATTTGATCCTTTTTTCTTGAATTCATCAACAAAGTGGTATTTCCAAATTGGTAAATTTACGCCGGGTTGACCTGTGTGAGGTTCCAATCTGATAGAGCAGTTCTCGTTACTAGGTGAAGTTCACAATAATTCAAGAAGTATACAGAACAAATAAATCCTTAAATCAATTCAAAAACCCAAAAAAACATACAAAAAAGATTGGACACAAAATAAAACTAGAAATTTAAAAATTACTAACCATGATTAATCACAGTAAAATCAGCATCATGAGCAGATTGTTGATCAGCAACAGGAGAATTAACACCAGACATATCAAAACCAAGACTATACTTCCCAGAACTACTCGGAACCCAGTCGTCGGAAAAATCAGGCTGAGTTGACTCCGGCGAAGAAGCGGCGAGGTAAGAGTGAGAATCGTCGTAAACTCGGCGAGCGGCGGAGACAGTGGCGGAGGCAGCGGCGGCGGAGTGGGCGGGGACAGGAACAGGGAGAGAAGTGGAGACGGCGACGGCGGAAGTGTCGGAGGGGATCGGCGGAGGAGGGATCATCACCGGAGAAAGGCCGGAGTCGTCGGAGGCGGTGACGCCGGAGACGGTGGCGGGAGAATTAGGGTTTTGGGAATTAGGGGTTGTGGTTGTGGGATTGAATGTAAAACCAACTTGGCGGATTTTTGGGTCGATTCTTGCTCTATTTTGGGGGTTTCGTCGAGGTTCCATTTTGGGTTTTTTTTTTTTTTTTTTTTTTTTGGGGGGGGGGGGGGGAGGTTTGTTTATTTTAGTTTTGGGAATGGTTTAATTTATTTTTGGTGATTATTAATTACGAAATTGGAATGCTTTGTGTGACTGAATACAAGGTAAGAAAAGGAAGATAAACTTTAATACGTTGTATTTTACTTTGTATTGTTTTGATTTTGGTTTTAGGTTTGATTTTGGATTGATTTGGGAGTTTAGTGATGGATATGGTTAGTGGTTAATTAATTAGCCTTGTTAATATATTTTAAAGGCTTTTATGATAGAATTAAGGAAATTGAATAGTTCGTGAACTGGTTTCTTACTTATTTTGGTCGTTTGGACATGCATAAAATTGAAGTGAAAAGAGAAATTTTGAGATTTTGTTTGGAAAAAAAAAAAAGGAAATATAAGTTACTCAATTTGAGTTACAATCAATGTTACTCAAGGGATACAACGGTCATTTTGGTGTGTAAGTTGGGGGTAAAATAGTTAAGACCCAGATTTTTTTCCTTCTACCGAACTAGCTCACAGCTGTAGATCCATGGCTCCAAGGCTCCAAAAATTTTCCTTCTTCCTCCTTCTACAATGCTGCCACGAAATAATAGCTTTCCCTAAGGGGTTGATATGATGACCCTACTTTACACTATTTGCTAATAGGGTGTCTTTTGTTTCGCCGCAAAGCGGCATAGGGGCCATTGTTAAGAAAAGAAGAAGAAGAGGACAAAGGGGAGACGAAGAGGAAGGCGGGGAGATGGTGATGGTGTTGATGGGTTTTGGTTGGTGGCTATTATGATGGTGGTGGCTATGATGGAGATGCGGTGGTGGGTGTGATGGAGATGCGGTGAAGCTAGAAGATGGGTTTGATTTTTTTAAAAAGAAAAAACCTGCCACTTGAGTAACAAGCTAAAAAAAAAAATGCAACATGTATACAATATTGCGTACTTCTATTTTAAGGCAACTTTTCACTTGTATTGATTATAGTATTTTTGTACATTATAAAGTAGCTTTAAAAGAGAATATAGTTGCTTCTATACAATTCGATGACAATTTAACCCGGGCCGGGTCAACCCGTGAGGGATTCCGACCTAGTAGGACCCTTCATCTTACCAACAAAAAAAATAAATAAATAAAATTGAATGACAAATTTACTTTTATCTATAGGGCCAATAGGGGTAACCTTTGATCATTTAAAGATAATTTTACACAGTTACACTCATCTTACAATATTAGTTGTAAACTTGTCATCTTAAAATATTAATTTGTGTTTACTAAATTTGGAAATATTATGATATTTAACTAAATTGTTTTTCCTCCATAGAATCTAACACTTCTTTGCATTGTCACATTAGAAGTTGACAATTGTGCCAAATAAGTACGAAACTTAGTTTTAGCAAATAACCATGTCAGTGAAAAGGCTTTAATTTGTTGATTATCTTTTGTTTGGTTGAACTTTTTGGAATGGGTTAGAATGGATTTTGAATCCATTCCATGGTTTTATTTGTTTGGTTGGGCTATTTAAGTATGGAATCTCATACTTGGGGGATTTTAACTTCAACTCATTCCCTTGGAATCTCATACCCCCCCCCAGGATTTATAATCCATACTACCACTCAAGTATGAGAATCCATTTCATGATTAAACCAAACAACTTTAGATTGGTATAGGATATAGAATGCATACCACCCAAGTATGAGAATCCATACCAATCCATTCCAACTTAGTAAACCAAACGACCCCTTAAAGACTTTTGTCCCTACTATTCACGTTCAAAAATGGATTTCACCTAAGGCAAATTTCATTTGAATTACTCTAATAAATCCTTTACTTGATCAAAGATAGTTACCAACCTTAAAAACTTCTCAAGAGATCGAGTTCACCAGTCCTATTTCTCCCAGTCAGGCATTAAATATAAATGGATATTAATTTGAAAATGAAAGAGATTGAATGGTTGCCTTTCTCATTGCTTAAGTGTAGAATATGTACACGATTACAAGAGATCAATTAGGCTATAAACAAGGAAACAAACTAGCTACAAACTAGGCACTAGATATATACATTCCAAACTAAATATATACACTATCAACAAAATATATTAACATATATTATAACACTCCCCCCGCAATCGTAGCGGTAGGATCACGTACGCTAAGGCTGTCCCGAAAATCATCAAATAAAACTCGTGGGAGTCCTTTTGTAAAGATGTTAGCAATCTGATAACGGGATGGAACATGAAAAACTCATATCTCGCCTTTAGCGACTTTCTCACGGACAAAATGATTGTCCATCTCAATGTGGTTGGTGCGTTGATGTTGCACCGAGTTCTCAGAAAGATAAATGGTGCTCACATGAGTCACATCGTCACAATAAACAAGAGTAGCTTTCAGAATGGGACAATGTAGCTCAAGTAGCAGATTTCTAATCCAACACGAATCAGAAACCACATTTGCAACCCCACGGTACTCAGCCTCAGCACTAGAGCGTAATAAAGTCGGCTGGCGTTTAGAAGACCAAGAAAGCAGATTGTCACCAAGAAAAACACAATAACCTGAGGTAGATCGCCTGGTGTTGAGGCATCCTCCCCAATCAGCATCGATATAGGTGCAAGTTTATCAATAGTAGATTTATATAGATACAAACCGTAGGATAGGGTATATAATACCCCGTATTATTATACGTATATTAATTTAAAACATTATTTTATGAAGTATTTAAATAATTTGAAATGAATTATTTATGGTATTTTAATAATCTAAAAAGCTTTATTTTAATTAAAAGTCCAGTTTTATTTATTTAATTGCTTTGAAAATATTTTATTTTATTATTTAGAAACTTTGGGGCATAATTATTTTATAAAAAGAAATTATAAAGTCAATGAAATTTTAAAGAAAGTCAAATGTCATTTGGAATAGGAGTAGGAATTATTAAGGGTAGAAAATGAATTCAAATTAGGAGGGTTTTGAGAGAGAGTATAAATACCCATCATATGAGCAAATTGAACTTTGCCCAAGGTGGAGAATACCCAAAGGTAAAATCTCTTTCTCTCTCCTCTTATTTTTCTTTCCCCTTAATTTTTCCCCCTCCCCTCTTCTCACCTCACATGCACGCACCACCTTCACCACCAGTGGCCAGCTGCCACCACCACCACAACCGGCCGCCGCCAGCACAGAGCGGCAGCAGCAGCCGCCGTGGGGAGGTGGCGCCGACCACTCTCCCCTCCTTCCCCTTTTTCGTGTGCAAGTTAAAAAAAAAAACCTTCTCACTTGTTTTAATTTAATCCAACCTTGATTAATTATTGTTTTTGGGTGTGTGCGATGATTTTATGATGTTTTAATGATGATTAATATGTATATAATTTTCAGATTTGGTTTTTGAATTAAAAAGCCCCAAATTGAAAACCCTAGGTTTCTAAGTTAATGTTTCTTGACGGAATTTGATTGTAGTTGATTAAAACTATTGAAATTAATGTTTTTAAACTAAATTACAGCAAGTTTAAGGGTTTTTTATAATGCTGGAATTTTTATATAGAGGCTAGAATTATGTTTCTTGAAAGGATTTATAATTAACCATTAATTGGGAATAAAAGTAGGTGGTTTAAATTAATTTTCAGCTTGTTTTAGAAAGTTTAAAAGTGTTTTAAAGAGTGTATATATTGCTGGAAATTTATTAAATAGGTATTAATATCTCTTTGTAATTTTGGGTTGTAGGAGATTTCCAAGTGAGTGATTTCGTGTAGACCTGATCAAACGTAGGGCTGGGCCGGGTTCATGCCGGGCCGAAGCTAAAAAATTATGCCCACTTCTCTGGCCGGGCCAAGCTTCGGGCCGAAAATTTTGTGCCCAAACCCGCCCAAAATGGGCGGGCCGCGTGGGCTTTTCGGGCCATTTTCGGGCCGGGCCTAAAAAATAACTAAATATGCATAAAAACGCATTCCCAAACCTGCCCCAAAAAAAAAATTGGGCCAGGCCGGGCCGAACCCGATTTCGGGCCAAAAAATTCTGCCCAAAACCCGTCCAAAATTGAGCCGGACCATACTTGATCAGGTCTAATTTTGTGTAGTCGTGGCGATTTTGAGATCATATTCGAGGTACGTTCGCGTACTCGGTAATTATTTACGTGTGTAGAAGCATGCTAGGCTTTAGTTAGTTATTTCCAAGGTAGTATCATAATAGGTATTGGTTGGAATTGTTGATTCGATTAACCTTGGTGATTGATTTGTGAAGTATGGATTATTTGAGGTGAATTGATGAATGGAATTAATTATGTTGACATGTTGATTATGAACCACACTTTTATTATTGGCATGATTGAGAGCATGTTTAATTAAACTAAATATTTAATTGAGTTTGGAATATTGAAAGGGAATTTTATGATGGTTCATATAATTTTTATTAATGCTATGAGCTTGGGAAATGAGCTATTTAAGTGTCTATGTGCACGAGGATTAAATTATATTTTGGTGTCTAAGTGCACTTAAGGTGTTCTAAACACCGAGGAATAGGATTTGTGATGCATTATGCGCTTAAGGTGTTATTTAACGTCGAGATAGTTTAAAAAGGGTTCAAAATTAAATGTGGTCACTAATTGTTCAAGAATTAAATTGGTATGTTTGATTGGTTGAATGATTATTATGATTGATTGTGTTATGGTTTGAGAGTCATCACCAAGTCTAAAAATATGTAAACAACGTAAAGTGAAAGAGATTACACACCAAAACTCTTGGAACTTATATACCTTGAGTATGAACATATGGGTGGAGTTATGCGACTTTATATTTGACCATAACTTCTACCGAGAGTACAAGACGCTGTATTTTCCTTTTTATTATGCGCAGGAATTCCGCCATTTACGAGTGGTTCTTTTATACTGGCATGGTTAGCTCCTGTGTTAGTACTCCTTCATTAGGGCAGGTTAGGGGTAAACCCGTTCGATGCGTAATTAAATTGAATAAGCAATTTAGTCATTTATTGGTTGATTGTGTTGTATGTTGTATGCTTGTAAACAGGTGCAACAAGGTAAGCGTGTGACGATAGGATGAAAGCATGTTAGTGTGTACTGTTTATGTACTCAGCATTGCTGATTGTGTGTTTGCATATTTGTTTGGCCTTGTCTTTATCTTGGCCCTACGACGACCCAATTCTAATGGCGAGTAGTGGGACAAAGTAAAGAGAAGCTTTTCAGGTGATGAAGCATATTCATGACGGGTATGAGTGAAGAGCGAATCCTGTTTAGTTTCCATATGGATATGATGTGTTTTATTTGCTTTAATTATTTTATATTTGCTTGTGAGACTAACACAAAGGTTTAAATATTTGTTTCGGGTTTTGATAAGGGCCTACAATGGTTCCAAGTTGTAGGTTGAATTTGTTTGACTTTTTTTCGTTTGGTTTGACTTTTAAGTTGAGTTGTTTTGAATGGTTTTTAAAATGAGTCTTCCGCTGTGTGACTTTGATAATTGCCTTAGCCGTTATCACGGTTGCGGTAATGTCTAGAATTTCCTATTTCGTGTTTTAAAAAGAGCAAAAAGGTATTTTAAAGGAAAAGAATTTCTAGGGTGTTACAAAGTGGTATATAGGAGCTTTGGTTGAGATTTTTATTACCACTAAAGCTTAAAACGTGTTTTAAATAATTTTGTTTTAAACTTGGCCAAGTATTTAAATTAATGAGTTATTTTACAAAGTAAGTTATTTTATTTTATTCTACATTATTTAATTATTTTTAGAGGACCAAAAATATTTAATTATTTTTGTAATAGGTCTGAATTTTTTTTTTTTTTATTAGGAGGTCCGGAATTTTTTTTTTCTTTCAAAGGAGAGGTGTACGAATTTTTTTTTTTATTTTGGCCGAAAATTTTGGCCTTTTCGGAGTTAATTTTCGAAAATATTTTTTTTCTTAAAAAGGGAGTCAAAAATATTTTTAGTTTGTTCAATTTTGCAGGAAAGAGAAGGATTAAGGTAAGAATTATGTGTTAAGAGCTTTTAAAGCATGTTTGTGAGCTTGGGTAGGAAAGAATTTGGGGCATATAAGTTAGAATTATTCATGTTCTTGTTTGCATTAATATTTAGGTTGTGATGTTTGATCATATGAGTTGAATGATGTGGAAGCATGTAACTATG